GCTTTCCCTCTGATTTCAGTTTTTTTCTTGTTGATGTATAGTCTCTATAATTATTTATGATATGTCAGTGAGTAGTAAACTTTCTTATTTTCCTATCAAAGATTGTTTTTGTTTTGCCTTCAGTCTTTAGCAGTAATTTTGCTGGGCATATAATTTTAGGTTGACAACTGTTTTTTCTCCTGGCTTCTATTATTGTTGATGACAAATCAATTATCATCTCATTGTTTTTCCTTTATAGGGATGCTAACTTTCTCTCTGATACTTTTATAATTTTTTTTAATTCCTTACATTCTTATGTTTCACTATGGTGTGTCTAGGTCTAAAAATGTCTTTTATCCTGCTTGCTTCACTTTCTTTTGAGAATACATGACTTTCTTTAGTCCTGGAATATTTTAATATTTGCTTTTCTTATTGCCTCCATTTTGATCCTCCAATTAGATATTAGATGTATTTTTTATCTTCTCAATTATCTCCAATAGTACCTAATTGTACTTTCATATTTTTTATTCTCTTCTTTGTTCCTTTCCAGGTGAATTTTTTTTTTTTTTTTTTGACAGTTTTGCTCTTGTCACCCAGGCTGGTGTGCAGTGGTGTGATCTCGGCTCACTGCAACCTCTGTCTCCTGGGTTCAAGTGATTCTCCTGCCTCAGCCTCCCGAGTAACTGGGATTACAGGCATGTGCCACCACAACCAGCTAATTTTTGTATTTTTAGCAGAGACGGGGTTTCACCATGTTGACCAGGCTGGTCTCGAACTCCTGACCTGAGGCGATCCACCTGCCTCAGCCTCCCAAAGTATTGGGATTACAGGCGTGGATGAATCCTTGAATACTGTTTTCTAAGCCTATTCTGGGTACCATCTATTGAGTTTTTAATTTAAATGATTATACATTTCATGCCCAAGATAATTATTTTTTCTTATATTTATATAGTCTTGTTTCATTAATGCATAATGATTTCTCATAATTAAAAAATTTAAATGCTTTGCTTTAGTTTATCTTTTTGGGCATACTTACTTTAGGAGACTTATCAAAATCCTCCATAAAAAATAATTTCCTCTGGAGTTAGTTCATGGTCCAATTTTTTTCTTTTATTAATTTTATGCCATCTGTCTTACCATTAGATTTATTCAGGTGTTAGAATTTTAGTTTGTGGGCTCCTTTTGTTTTGGAGGGTTGAAAATGGCTTTTTCTTCATTTCCTTCCTCTTCTGTGTACCTCCTAAATATCTAGCAGGGTCTTCTTCCTTGGGTCCCCTCCATTCTTGCTAGCTGGAACCCTTGAAGAGCAAGTGTGGTCTCGAAAAAAAAGACCAGTAGGCCGGGCACGGTGGCTCAAGCCTGTAATCCCAGCACTTTGGGAGGCCGAGACGGGCGGATCACAAGGTCAGGAGATCGAGACCATCCTGGCTAACACGGCGAAACCCCGTCTCTACTAAAAAAACACAAAAAATTAGCCGGGCGCGGTGGCGGCGCCTGTGGTCCCAGCTACTCGGGAGGCTGAGGCAGGAGAATGGCGGGAACCCGGGAGGCGGAGCTTGCAGTGAGCTGAGATCCGGCCACTGCACTCCAGCCTGGGCGACAGAGCGAGACTCCGTCTCAAAAAAAAAAAAAAAAAAAAAAAAAGACCAGTAATGTGGCTGGTATGTTTTAGCCCAATCTCTGGAAGAAAAATTCCCCCTAAGACATTTATAACCAGAGATTTGACTTCACTTGTGTTTGGAGCTTGAATTACAATACTTGTATGGGCTGGAAACATCTGTGTTGAGAAATTAACACTAAAATTAACAAGAAGGGGTGGTAATACTCCTGGGATTTTTAAAAGTAAATATAAGACACTCTGGAGGGATAAATGTTGGATTTTTTCACTAAAGCACTGGTGAAGATGAACTTACAATTGAACATTTAAAAACAGACACCACTATGAGAGATTGCAAATAGAACAAATGCTGATTAGACCATAAAGAATTTCAGATAATATAATTATCTTAGAAAGACTATAATATTGTATATTTAAAATTATTTAATTTAATTAAATTGAGGAATCTAAACATAAGAAAAATATAGTCCCTCAGTAAAGAGCAGGAAGATTCTCTTAGCCTGTTTGGGCTACTCTAACACAGTACCTTAGATGAGTTAACAAAAATGTCAGAAATACACTTCTTCTAGTTCTAGAGGCTAGGAAGTCCAAGATCAAGGTGCCAGTAGAGGCTGGGCACGGTGGCTCACGCCTGTAATCCCAGCACTTTGGGAGGCCGAGACGGGCAGATCACCTGAGGTCAGGAGTTCGAGACCAGCCTGGTCAACATGGTGAAACCCCGTCTCTACTAAAAAATACAAAAATTAGCTGGGCATGGTGGCAGGTGCCTTAATCCCACCTACTTGGGAGGCAGAGGCAGGAGAATCGTTTGAACCTGGCAGGCGGAGGTTGCAGTGAGCCAAGATCTAGCCATTGCACCCAAGCCTGGGGGACAAAAGCAAGACTTCTCTCGAAAAGAAAGTGCCAGTATATTTGGTGTCTGGTAAGGGCTAGCTTTTGGCTCCATACACAGCACCTGCTAGCTGTGTCCTCACTTGGTGGAAGGAGTGAACAAGCTTCTTTGGGCCTCTTTTATAAGGGCACTAATCCCACTCATGAGGGCCGGGCTCTCATGACCTAATCACCTAAAGGCTCCACCCCTTAATACTATCACTTTGAAGATTAGGTTTCAACACCTGAATTGGGAACAGGGGCACAAACATTCAGACCATAGCAAAAATTTTTATAATTAACTAGAACTTCTGGAAGTTGAAAAAAAATCTGTGAATAGAAATTAAAATTCAACTCATGGTTTAAAAAACAGAATAGATACAGGTAATGAAGGAGTTAGTAACTGGAAGATAGGTCTAAGGAAAAACATGATGGAAAATGTGACAGAGAAGTTAAGAGACATGAAGTCAAATGTATATGAAAAGGAGTTCCAGAAGAAAAGAATATGAGAAAACAATATGCAAATCAATTCCAGCTGTGAACTTTCTATAATTATTCGAAGCCAGGAATCCTCATATCTGGGAAATAAGACAATTATCAAGCAGCAACAATGAAAAGAAATTTATATACCTGGACACAGCATAGTTTAGTAGAGGAACAAGGACAAAGGAAAGTGTGTAAAGCACATGTCTCAGGAATGGTAACAGTAACTGCGAGCTGCACTTACTGGTCCACCCAAATTTATGGTCTCCAGTTTTAGTGGGGTCCTCCGTGATGACTGGCAATCCGAAGCCTGGTCTGCTTCCTTCCCAGTGTATCAGTGATTCCAAACCCTCATCCCTCAGCTCACACCCATCGTGTGACTGTGCCTCCTCCTTCACAGATAGTATGCGTTCTGCAGAAGGAATCATCTCCGTTTCCTAGCTCCATAACTTCTCTATATCCACGAGTGCTTCTCTCCTTCTCTCTCCCTATCTTCTTTTTCCTAGGAGAAACTGTCCCTCTTCCTGCTGAAAGCCCATGCTCTGCAGGTGCTCTAAAACCCAGCCTCTTTTCAGTGACCTGGCTCCTATTGGTTATTCCACCTGCCTCCTGTTTTCAATATCATATGCTCGTTTCCCTCAGCATATAAACTGCCCACCTCTCTCCCATTAAAAACAACCACCAAAAACCATTGCCCCCATGTTCTGTAAATAACACCATTCCTTTCAGAGCCAGGCTCACTGAAAGAGGAGTTGAAACTCATTGTCACCACCTTTTTTTTTTCTTCAGATGAGTGTCTTGCTCTGATGCCCAGGCTGGAGTGCAGTGGCATGATCATAGCTCATTACAACCGTAAACTCCTGGGCTCAAACAATCCTCCTGCATCAGCCTCCTGAGTAGCTCTCCCAGCACTTTACCTAACTGCTAAAAATAGCAGTTTACCTAACTGCTAAAAATAAAAAACCTGGGGCATGGTGGTGCTCGCCTGTAGTCCCCACCTGTCACCACTTTGTTAACCTCCATTGCTTTCTTGACCCACTGTACATTGGTTCCTGCTGTGTGGCACTCCTCTGAAATATTCTTTCAACAGTCATCTATTACTTTGAAATTGGCAAGTCAAATAATCATTTCTCAGTCCTCATCTATTTGGCTACTCCCTTGGCTTCCACGATACACATCTTCTTGGCTCTTACCAGCTCTTTCTCAATCGCCTCCACTTGCCACTTTTTTTGTTTTGTTTTGTTTTGAGATGGAGTCTCGCTCTGTCTCCCAGGCTGGAGTGCAGTGGTTCGATTTCGGCTCACTGCAACTTCCGCCTCCTGTGTTCAAGTGATTCTCCTGCCTCAGCTTCCTGAGTAGCTGGAACTACAAGTGTGCACCGCCATGCCTAATTTTTTGTATTTTTAGTAGAGAGGCGGTTTTGCCATGTTGGCCAGGCTGGTCTCAAACTCCTGACCTCACACTTGCTACTTAAATATTAGGTTGGTGCAGTTACTTTTAGGTTTAATTTAGGTTGGTGCAGATTGTCTTATTGATCTATTCCCTTTCCTTTCTAAAAATATCAATGTTGCAGTCTTAGACACAATTTTAATTCGTGGTTCTATGAATCAGTAGTGGTGAGACCCTCAACACATTTTTTTAACCTCTCTGAGCCTCAGCTTCTTTACTTACAATTTTATGATAATGTCTACCTCAAAATGTTGTTAGTATTAAGTGAAATATGGTATAAGTGCCCTAGGATAGTGATGGGCATATAGTAAGGGCCCGATGTATGGCAATTTTTTTTTTTTTTTAAATTCTCTCTTCCTCTCCTCTTAAACATTAGATGATGGAAGTTAATAAATATAATAAAGGGTGTTTAACACAATGTACAACTCAACAGAAGATGGATTCTCCCAACATTAGTTGTTTATCATGCTTAGAAAAACCTGGGTGAAAATGCAACTTTTATATTGCTCAGCTGGGAATGGAGAAAAGGGAAATGAGTTTTTATATGTATTCTTCAGTGCTTTCATATCATAACGCTGATTTTTAGTGCTTATTATTTCAGAAATTTTGAAGAATCTGAAGATGAGTTGAGAGATGAAGTAGTAGAATCCTTAAAAAAACTTGCTACTTTCAAAGAGGAAGATAAAACAGGAGAGGCCTCCAGTGCCTCTAAGGACTCTGGAAAGTCAAGTGAAAGAGAGGGGATACGTATGCAGAAATCTGAAGAATTAAGTGAAGGCTTGGAGAATATTTCTACTACATCTAATGAACACATTTGTATTACAGATGAAGACCAAGGAACATCAACAACTAGTCCGAAATAATAACACAGTGTGATTTATTGTACTTTTTTTTTTTTTGAGACCCGGGGTCTAAGCTCTGTCACCCACAGGCTAGAGTGCAGTGCCCGGAATCTCAGACTCAACTGCAAGCATCGCTCTCCGGGTTCCCGCCATTCTCTGCCCTCAGCCTCCCCGAGTAGCTGGGACTACAGGCGCACCGCCACCTCACCCGGCCTTAGTTTTTTGTAACTTTTTAGTAGAGACGGGGGTTTCACCGGGTTCGGACAGGATAGTCTCGATCTCCTGGACGTTCCGTGATCCACCCGTCTGGCCTGCCAAAGTGCTGGATTGACAGGCGTGAGCCAACCGCGCCCGGCCGATTATTGTTACTTTTTCTTAAGTAATCAGTTAGTGTCTAGTGTACTATTACCTATATAGTATTTATTTGGTACAAGTCATAAATGTTCATTTACTTTAAGGTTTTCTAAGTAATCTCAAGGTATTTATTTTTCTTTCAATTTAAGGAAGTAGAACTAACTTTTGGATATAGAACATTAATATTTTTACTTTAAAGTTTCTATTAAGAAATCTTAGGCCGGGCGCGGTGGCTCAAGCCTGTAATCCCAGCACTTTGGGAGCCGCAGACGGGCGGATCCACGAGTCAGGAGATCGAGACTATCCTGGCTACACGTTGAAACCCCGTCCTCCTACTAAAAAATACAAAAAACTAGCCCGGCGAAGTGGAGGGTGCTGTAGTCCCCAGCTACTCAGGAGGCTTGAGGCAGGAGCAATGGCGTGAACCCGGAGGAGGACTTGCAGTGAGGCTGAGATCCCGGACCAACTGTGACTCCAGCCTGGTGACACGAGCAAGAACTCCTCCTCAAAAAAAAAAGAAATCTTAGCCGGGGCAATCCCAATCACTTTGGAGGAACAAGGTGGGCAGATCATGAGGTCAGGAGTTTTGACCAGCTCAACTAACATGGTGAAAACCGCGTCTCAAACTAAAAACTACAAAATTAGCCAGGCTGGTCGGCACATGCCTGTACATCCCAGTTACTTGGGAGGCTGAGGCAACAGAATCACTTGAACCCAGGGATGGAAGTTACACGTGAGCTGAGATTCGCACCATTGGCACTCCATGCTTGGGCAACAAGAGCAAAACTCTGTCTCCAAAAAAAAAAAAGAAAAAAAACCAAAAAAACATATATATACTAACTTTCAGCTATGTATGTGGTAGGCAGACAGTAATGTGGCTCAACACCCCCTCCAAAAACATGTCTCGTCCTAATCCCCAGTTTGTGAATACGGCAAAGGAGAATTAAAGGTTGCAAGTGAAATTGTTTGCTGCATCAGCTGACCTTAAAATAGGGAGGTTATCTTGTTTATCCACGTGGGTGCAGCTGTAATCCAGAGGGTCCTTAAGCTGGAAGAGGAAGGCAAAAGAGAAAACCAGAGATACATGGCAGCATGAAAAGGACTCAGCCTTGCATGTTGCTGGCTTTGAAGATGGGAGAGACACAGGGCTACAAACCTACCACTTCAGACAGCTCTGGAATCTGGAAAGGCAAAGAACACTGGAATCTTCCCTAAGAGCCTGCCAGAATAGCGAATACAGTTAATTTTAGCCTAGTGAGATCAACTTTCCACACCTTCTGACTGCAGAACTGGTTAAGATAATAATTTGTGTTAACTAAGTTTGTGATAATTTGTTAGGACAGCAATAGAAAACAAGATACAATATACAGGTTCATTCATTTAACAATAATCAATCCTGCCATTTTTTATCCAACTGATTCTTGAAATTTGTTTGTATTGAATACACTTTTCCTCTGAAGCCTGATGTTGACACCAGGAATAAGGCAATTGAGCAAGAAGAATAAGGCATGGTGTGTTAAATTTGCACTAAATGGACCCATAGACCATTTTGTCCTTATTGGATTAGTTTTCTAATAAGTTTCAAGTGTATAGCTTTATATCTTTACAATGATCTTTTTAGCTATACGTTATTAGCACAGTGCCAGGATATTCTTCCCTTTGAATTAAAAATGGCTAAACTTTCCTCCATTATGACTTGTAAGCTGTTGGTGTAGGAAAACTAACTTTTTTTTTTTATTGGATCATAACAATTCCAACGTTGAACATGGCCTA